GAAAATCGGTTCCCGAAGCAGGGAACCGATCATCGCACAGCGAAAAAAACCCATTTAAAACATCGTTTTGCGATTGCAACAGTGATCGCAAAAACATTAACGTAAAGCGGATTCGTCGTAGAGCGGGATAATTGTCTAGCGGGGTATGACTGTACAGCTGCTATGCAATTTGCATTCTACGACTGTACAGCTGCTATGCAATTTGCATTCATATATGTGCCACATTCTCAAGTTACCTAGTTTTGTTCCTAAAGAGATAAGGCCCTTTAGAAATACTAAATATTAATTCAGTGTAATTGTGTTCTGTCTGTAACAGAGGATTCCAGTCTGGTTAATATCAGTTTATGCCTTGCTGGTATTTTCTTTGAAACAAGCAATGAGACCTATTGTTCCTTTGACATCCTACATGAAACGTCCACATAAGTAGCCCTTAGAACTGAGCTGTCTGTCTCACCAAGCTGTGCATTTGGATTTTGTTCTCCTTTCAAAGGAATGTTTGTTTTCTTTGCATAGTGAAGGCGACATCTAGAAAAGAATCCCCTTGTACGCATGTGCTAAATTCATAAAGATTCAGACTTGTCTGTGGCTTTTCAAAGCTGAAAGCAAAATAATTAAACAACTCTTTAATCTTGTGTAAGCAAGAGATTGAAGTTAATTAAAAATTGCCACTATCCTGATTTCCATATATGCATGAAAAAAGTTAAGGTCTTCATTACACACAATTTGCTCAAATCTCACTGAAGTATTAAACAATGAAACCCTTGCTCTGGACAAAAAAAAAGGTCATTCAGAGACAAAGCAAAGATGTTAACACCACAATAATTTACTATTAAATGACCTTTTTTGTTTATTTACTTAGTCATATACTTGGCTTTATAATATTCAACTGATACTATAACACTAATATATTCAGTAGAAAGTATTGGTTAATGTTATTTTGTACATTCTGATGCGATGTAAATTTAACACCAGCATAAGTATGCCAGGCATTACACCCAGGCAACATGCATTGCATAATTAGACTGCACAAGCATTCACGTGACTCCTGTTGTGAACAGCATTTCCGCTCTGCCTCACTTTTCACTAAAGCTGTTACAGTTTTGTGTTGTGCTTGTTGAGTTATGCACCAAGATTTCAGACAATACATTTAAGTAAATTAAGGAACATTTTCTTCCCTCTATTTTTTCCATTGGTCTTTCAACTTTGTTTTCTATAGTAAAATTGTTCAAATAAAAATGTCAATTATTTTTTTAAAACAACAAAGAATCCTGCAGTTTCATGGATGGCAGCCCATTTCTTCAGATGGGCTAAAGATGAATCTTGTTGATCAGGTTGCTATAGGCCAAAACAAAAGAAAAATAAAAAATAAAAAAGGTTGTGACACTGCTACATTTTAATGTTAAGCTTTTGTGGACATGTTCACTTCATCAGATGTAAGAGGAAATTGACTTGTTTATGAAAGCTCACGTTAAAATGTAGCAGTTAGTCTTTAAGTTGTCACAATGTTTTTGCCTTCTTTATTTTTCATTTTTCTTTTCTTTTGGTCTCATATGTTAGCACAGACAAACACAGCTACCACTCACTTTTAAAGTTGCCAAAGGACACTGCTGTTTTTGCTGCTGCAGAGTAAGGGTCTGATCAGATAGTGACAAAGGACCACATCTGATGGCAATGGAAAGAGTTGCTTTGCTAGGAGCAATCTCCCTTGAAGCAACCCTTCAGTCCCTGCAGGAACTGCTCTAGCACAGTCCCCTAAAAGAGTAGCCCTGCAGCTGGACCAAAAATGAGGCTGCTAGGTCTCGCTACATCATAGAATAACTGAGATGGGCTCAGTAATCTTGAAGACTGAGTCCAACTCTGGGCACCACACTTTAAGAAGGATACTGACAAACTGGAACAAGTTCAGAGGATGATAACAAGAACTATTGGGGACAAGAAACCAAGCCTTGTGAGGAGAAACTGAAAGAATTGGGCATGTTTAACCTTAAGAAAAGAAGACTGAGATGAGGAATGATAGCACTCTGAAAATATTTGAAAGATTGTCATAAAGAGGAGGGGTAGAACCCGTTCTCAATAAACCCAGAGCACAGGACATGTAATACAGTGGGGTCTTGACTTGCGAACGGCTTGACTTGCGAACTTTTTGAGTTGCGTACTTCTCCGTCCGCAAAAATCCATTTTGACTTGCGAACGGAGAATTGACATACGAACTCAAAAAGTGTGTCGGGGGGGAAGCAGGAGAGGCGGGGAGAGCCAATAGGGCAAAAGCATAGCTGGGTGGCTGATCCGTAAGGAACAGTAAGGAACCGGGGAAAAGCTTGATCGGCTGGGCAGATGCGAGGGAGGCAGCACGCCAACGCAGCCGCTCGACCCGGCTGCCTCCTTTTCCCGCCGCTCAGGCCGGCTGAGGGGGAGTCCGCGCCACTGCGCTCGG